AGAGAGAGAGAGAGAGAGAGAGAGAGAGACAGAGACAGAGACAGAGACAGAGACACAGAGACAGAGAGAGAATGGTGAGAAAAAAATTGCAGACTTTTTTGGCAATTGGTAAAGGAATCATCAAGATGAATAGTAAGGTTTTACTTGAGTAATCAATTTGAAATAAAAAAAGAAAGTCAGGAAAATGAAGAAAAATTCTAAGTGATTAAAATAATAGCACGGGGCATGCTACATTTGAGATGCCTGTAGGATGTCCTGAGAAAGATATCAAACCTCATATCCCCAAATTTTCCCATTCATAAAAATCAATATCCTCACAATGCCCTGCATGCCCCTTCATGACTCAGGCCCTTACTGTTTTCTCAGTATCATGCCCCACATTTCTCTCTCATTTCCCTCAAAATGGGCTGTCATACTCAATGATGGCGAACACATCAACTGGTTCTTGCCTCAGAGCCTAACCCTGAACTTTCTCTCTGCCTGGGATGGATATTCATAGCTTTCCCCATAGTTCAATTTCTTACTTCCTTCTGTTTGGATGCTACCTGGTCATCAATGCATTTTCTTACCACTTTGTCATGAGTATCCCCACCTTCCATTGACATCTTTCTAGTCCTCTCCATAAATTTGTCATAATCTTATTTTTATAACCTTTTATTATTGCCTATTGTCTGTCTCCCTCAACTAAAATGTATGGAAGCTCCATGAGATACAGAGTTCCATGTCATTTGTATCCAGTAATATATACCAAAAGATGGGTAGTGTTTAACAATTCTGAAGACTTGAAGGTCTGAGAATTTACCCTACTGGTTAGCTGAAACATTAGCCAGTCACCATTTGGGGATGTTGAAATAAGCCAGGCACCAAGGTCAGGCAAATGACTTAATTATTTTGTAACAATAGCTAGCGTGTCAATATTTGTATCAAAGTCCAATTTCCCAAAGATGATGTAAGGCGGACCATATGACATCTATGCAGAAAGTGTCCTGTGCTGTGAGTAAAGGACACCAAACTTAAAGTAAAAAAAAAGTAAGTCTAAGTCGTTTTAAGGAGCAGTAACTCCACCTTAGTGCTGCTCTGAAATATGTTCTTTATTATTCTAGACAGTAAAAGAAAAAAACTTACCTTTCATGACAAAGGAAGGCATTACTTCATATGTCAAGGCTGTTTGCTATACAAAAATCCTGGAAAAGATAGTCTGAAACAAAGTAATGAGTATCTCTACTCACAAGACAAGCAGAAACTTGAAAGGAAATAAAGAAGTACCACCATGCATGGTAGATACTCAGTACATATCAGTTAATGAAGGATCATTCCTGTGAGTTACTTATTACTGTTACATCAATTTTCAAATGCATAAATTGAAGCAATCAGAAAGTGAATTGATTTTCTAGAGGCATGCAGCTACTCTGGTAAGCACACACAGCCCCAAGACGGGGAACTGAGGAGACCAGGAGACAGGTAACTGAGTCCTCTTTATCTTTTACTCTACCCTGCCGTCAGCCTGTCAAGCATTAAAGAACGCATGGAGACTAAAGAGAGAAATGTGAAAAAATGAAAAACAGGAATGGAAGAAAAGGAAAGAATGGAGAGTGCCTTTGAGCTCTCCACTTTTGCTCATCTGTTCAGAACTACAGAGGAGACAGGACTTTTGATCTTGCCTACAGACAAGAAAACCAGGTTCAGGAAAGCAGGGAGCATTTCTCAAAACCTGAAAGGATATCAGGAATCAAGGTAAGTAGCTTTTCCTGGAGAATTTGGGTCCAGCCTTTCCTGCCCTGTTTACTACTCAGATAACATTTCCCCAGCCTGACAGCCTCACAGAGTCAATCAATAACCAAGGATATCTATCATACAGCACAGTGGGTGGAGCCTGGTGCTACCATCTGTCTATAAGACCACTCCTCAGTTTCTGAGGAGAAGTACAGTGCAGAGCTCCTGACCTCTGCACCTGGATCTGCAACCATGAAGGTGGCAACTATCTTTCTTGGCGCCTTGGTCCTGCTCAGTTTAGCAGGTAGGTGTGTTTGCATATTCTTCAAAAATTAGTAAAAAACAACAACAACAAAAAAGAACTTCGATCTATTGCTTTACTGAATATATCTCGTGGAAATTTAGATAGTCTAGTGTTAGCTCATTGGTGCCAGTGAATTGAAATGAAGTCAATGGAGTGAGTACCAAGAAGTATCTCTAGCATGAATTACAGAAAGAAGTCATTTCTAACATAAATGAAGAAAGCATCTCCGGTAAGACGTGCCCAGAGATAGTCATGGCCTGCTCTAAAACAAGGCTGCTACTCCATTAGGGATGTGGTACAGAAGAAAGGGTTTCAACCTAAAATACCCTTCTAACTCTAGAAATGGTTACTAGACTACGTAAGGCCAACTTACGAAATTGAAATTCCTATGAACTCGCATAAAATAGGTAACAATGACTGCCATTTAGTTTGCATAAAAGTCATATTTTGAGTGATTAGAAGTTTGATGTTTGATCTGTAGGATGTTTAGAAAGAAAACATCCTGTTTGAACTGGTGAAAGAATGCTCAAACTTACCATGAGACTGTTGGGAAGCGATTCTGGTTGAGATGGGTTTGGCTTTTGTAACTGGCATTGATGGACACTCTCCCCTCCCGTGGCTCAGGCAGAACTTTGACAAGAGCCACATCTGTGCTGAGCTAAGAAGGGGAACGCCATTGCTTGTTGTTTTAGATAAATATTTATAGAAGAAAAGGGCCCTTTGTCCCACCTTAAGCCTAATAAGATGCTTGTAGTAAGCACCCCCTGCCCCCGCCGCCCCGCGCGCGCTCATCAATTTTTAGACTCGTTTACATTCTGGATTCAAAGGGACCCTAGCAGCCACACCTTCTCTGGTGAATCCCCATGTTCCTTTTCATTTCTTCAGAGATCATTGACTGAAAATTAAGTTTCAGGAACATTTCTCCTTTGGGGGTTCTATCAGATTAGATTCCTTTCCCTGGTAAACTCATCTACATTCACAGTTGCCATCTTCTCTTTTTTAAAAAAAATAAATAAATAAATAACTTTTGGAGAGTTTAACATGATTACATCATTTCCCCCTTCCCTTTTCTCCTTCCAAACTTTCCCATATACCTTCTTGCTCTCTTTCAAATTCAATTTTCTTTCATTGTTGTTACATACAAGCATATGTATCATATGCTTCGATTTCAGCAAGACTTGTTTTCTAAAGAATGGAATCTTTTCTGAACTACGTAGATACCCAAAAGACAACATGGACCTTTAGTGTAATGCACCTGTGGGAAAATGTTCTTTTGGAACCGATGGTGAGCTGGCAGAAAAGCCCCATTTTTAACACTATTTACAAAAGGAACTTAATTACATCCCAAGGCCTGATGGCTATTTCCCATACTGCCACTCACACCGTGAGATACAGATATTTCTCAGTCACTGATTGAGATGAAAATTCTATGGGATGCAGAAAGAACACTGATGGACACCCAGAAGGTGTCTGAATAATTAGTGCCAATATGTTTCAAACTCTGAGTACATAATTTCTATTCTCAAGGAAGTGGATCAGATTTTCTGAAATGCCAAATGGAAATGCTCAGTAATAGTCAAAATTTTACTTAATACTTTTCAAGATCTTAGCAGGCAGGGAGTGGAGAAAACCTATCCAGTGTCCTTGAAAGTCTATGGAAATAAGAGGTGGGAAGTGGATAGTGGAAGCAGAGAAGTTTCTGTGAAAACTGCAGTCTTTTGTAAGTAAGAATAGATCTGGCTTCTTTATTTGGGATCCTAGTTGACATGTCTGATTTATGTTTTCTAGGTAATATCACGGCTGACTTCGTGGGCAAAAAGGTAAAGAGAATTGTATAATTTCTTGTTTCTTATAATTTATAATTTCTTAATTCTCTAATTTCCTATGCAAGCTGTTAGAAAGGTTGACGGAAGGTCCCCCAAGTATTGATCCATGAGGAGTGAATGAGTGCCAGCAAAACTGGTGGTCGCCGGGTGGTAGTGGCTCACGCCCACTCAGGAGGCAGAGCCAGGCGGATCTCTGTGAGTTCAAGGCCAGTCTGGGCTACCAAGTGAGTCCCAGGAAAGGCACAAAGCCACACAGAGAAACCCTGTCTCGAAAAACAAAAAACAAAAAACAAACAAACAAAAAAACTGGTGGTCGACGTCCTGGAACGGAGGGGTGATGATGCCACACCCAGGAGCTGGAATTCAGGGTCCAAGAACACTCGCTATGTGACTTTAACTCAATTCATCACTTTGTGATCCTTCCATTGTGGAAGAGTGGAATGACAGCCTTACAAGATAGTTATTGAGTAGATTGATAAATGGATAATTGACAGTTTCAATTATGGGGTGAGACTTTTGCACTAGAACGATGCATAAAAATAAGACAGTGCCCTATGAAAGGTGTTTAATAATAATCAGCAAGGAAGACTACCCTGTTAGCAGCTGGCCTTCAGGAAGCCAGCACACCAGGAAATGTGAGCTTGAGAGTTTTCTTCTTCTTCTTCTTCTTCTTCTTCTTCTTCTTCTTCTTCTTCTTCTTCTTCTTCTTCTTCTTCTTCTTCTTCTTCTTCTTTTTACCAAACCTCATCATAGCATCATGATGTAAGTTGGGAACTGATGTTTTCCCAGTTTGCAGATGAAGTGACAGATCAAGGGCGGAATTAGTAGACAGCCATAACTTGACTTTAAATCAGATTTTCTGATTCCAGGGCAGATTTCTTTTGTTGTTGTTATTGCTTTCTTATACAACATCCAGTGTCATTATCCTAACTGAAAAAGATTAATTTAAATTTTTAAAAATATTTTAAGATCAAACATTGAAAATGATAGAAAGTGACTGTTCTTAATTCTGTGTTTAGGCTGATTGCAATTATGGAGTTACAGGATGTCCCAGGATTTATGACCCTGTGTGTGGGATGGATGGAATTACTTATTCCAATGAATGCACGCTGTGCTCTGAAAACAGGTGAGGATAAAAATCAATTTAAAGTACTTATTTTAACTTACTTACAATTAGAATTTCACATGTTATCCTATTGAAACCTAGGCCAATAAATAAACCTTTCTTTTCATAAATTTGGTATGATAATATGATTTAAAAATTGCTTGGATGATAAAGCCCTAATTTTCTTAGCAATATAGTTAATAGTCTAGATTTTCAAAAAGCCTGTACATACAAAATAACTTTAATCTGGAAAAAATAATTCTTGACAATAGCTCAAATGGCATTTTCTAATGCTCACCCGAATTAGCAAATGTGAGTTATATAGGTTTTAGTGAACAGAAATATATTTTATAACATGTGTATTCATGGGAATGAAATCTAGGCTCAGTGTAGTTTAATTTTCTGACGTGTTTAAAGTTGGGGAACAGGAATCACTCAGTACTATGGGACAAAGAGACATATCGGTTTTTCTCTTGCACTATGGCCGAGCAGTCAACCATGTGCCAGTTACTATGCTTGTGTCCCATGTGTTTGTGACAGAAACAAACAAAACAAACACCAAAAACACAGCCCACCTCATGAGCATGTGTAAGAGCTTCTTATACGTGGTGGAAATTAACAGCAAAAAAGAGTGTACAATGCTGTGTGACCAAGCAAAGATGGCAGTATCTTCTAACTGAAAGGAAAAAAAACAAAAACGAAAACAAAAACAAAAAAAATAAAACTTTAATGAAAAAAATGCCATTTAAATGAGACTGAGTTTCAACCAAACAACAGGGATCCCACACAGGACAGGAACCACTTAGATTTTCTAGAATTGACTCCATGTTAAAGACTTCAGCTCAGACTCAAGTGACTATAAATTGTCACTGTTCCTCTGCATGAATCTCCTCCCTGTAACGCAAATCCTTTTCTGGGATGGCTCTAAAAGAGTTCAGAAAAGTCTCAGAGTTTATCCAGGATTGTAGACATTTTTGACCCCAAACACTAGGCATTCAGCTTTATGGTGAGGGTGCTGCCAGTGTGTAAAATATGCCAGGCATGATAGCACATGCCTGCCAACCCCACACTGCAGGCCAAGACAGAAAAAAACCTGAGTTCTAAGCCAGTCTGTTCTTTCACCTGTCAGCCTGGGCTACAGGCTGAGCTCCTGGCTCAGGCGTTTGGGGAGGAACAGGGGAAACTTGTAGAAAGAATACATTTGAAACCACTTGTTAATTTTCTCATGACCTATGTTGTTGACATTAAGGTCAAGCATCATTATTTCCATCCACAGGGAGGAGGAAAGCCCCATAACACCCTTGAGACTTGTGAAATCTCCAAGTGTGAGCTCTAAAGTCTGAAGGCCTCTATTTAGAGCGAAGCATTCGGAAAATATGAGCAAAATGCTGAACTCGCTCTCCTTTGACCTTTTAACCTACTGGTTGCAATTAGCTCTTTGTATTCTTTCAAATACGTGTAAATGTAAGAGGCACATTCCACTGCCGGAAAGTGCAATGTTTTCCCCTGTGTTCTGAAATAATATTTATGTCTCGAGATAGGTTTGTCTTTCTCAAACGTAAGAGGATGACCTGAGGTTTCTATAGTGCCTTTGTTTCGATTGCCCATTAAAAGTCACACATACAAACAACAAAAATTGGACTCAGCAGGTTGTATCTGTCTATTTGTACACACACACACACACACACACACACACACACACACACACACAATAATAATCAAAGAAAAAGAGCCTGTCAATTTGAAAGTGAGTGGGCAATGAGGGTTTGGACAGAGGGATCTTGAGAGTGGTTAGAGAAGAAAAGTAATATAATTATATTTTAATTAAAAATGTCATCTTTTGAAGTTGCACAAAATGACTTGTGTGGTAATTATTACTAGAGCCAGGCTCTGAGTCTAACTCCTGGGATTTGAAACACCAAATAGGCCTTTGTTGTGATAGGTCCCATGTGTATCAGGCGCCTGCCAGGCATGTTAAGTCAGGACATTATATGTCAGAAGAAACGCTTTGTCAGAGAAGCTCTTAACAATTCTTTTCTATAGGAAAGCAGTGTCTGACAGAACTTTCTGTGGTGCTAGAAGTGTTTTCTGTCTGTGCCGGCCAATACAGAGCCACAAGTGCTAGTCACTGACTCTTAAGCACACATAGTATACTGAGAAACTGAAGTGTTAATGTTGTTAAACTTTTAAGTGTAAGTAACCCAATGTGGCTAATGAGCAGAATGAACCAAAGTGAACAGCACAGCTGTGGATAGCAGACTTATATAAGCAACTTTGAAATCGGCATTATTATCAGTTAATGTTAATGTTAAAGTGAAGAAACAAAAGATCCAGAAAATGTACATGTGAAAATAGATGAGTATCACATCTTCTCCAATAATAGAGAAAAATTTGTTGCATTCCAGTCTGTTCAAGGAAACATTAACTAGAAAGATAATGCTAGAAGCTGTCTTAGAACTAAGGAACAATTACAGAATTAAAGGGCATTTAGATTTTGTGAGAAAAACTGGTTTGGTAAAGGAAACATGGGAAGGGCAGAGAAGATTTTATCTACAGAGGCCTCAGTATTGGCTGCTATTATGAGACTCAAGATGGCCTGACAGGTTCAAGCCCCCATCTTCTAAGATAAAATGTTAAACAGTGAGAAGGCCCTGCTATAGCCTGGGCATCAACTAAGATTTCCATATTGTTAGTAAGTTTGCAGCATCTGCAGTAAAAGAAACAGTATTGAATTTGAGATTAATTTCAAAGGTTCCCAGTAACACTCCATTAGATCTGTAAATAGTAATGATAGAAACGTTTACTATTCTTTGTATTCCATGTAAATACAATAGAAAGCAACAAATACCCAGTGAATAAGTGAACAAATGAATGTATTGGAAAAAGAGAAAACTGGGAATAAAACATAAGCCTCTCTTTTTTTAAAAGGGGAAATTATTTTTTTAACTTTCATTGTCATTTCACATAGTCACTTATTTGTGCCAATAAAGTTCAAGCTGACCATTATTTGTTTTCTTCAATTCTTCTACAGGGAACGCCAGGTTCCTGTCCTCATTAGAAAATACGGACCTTGCTGAAAGTCAAGATTTTAAACTCTTTTAAGACTACCACTATGCTTGGCTAGTCTGTTTGTTGAATAAATGCATCTGAATAGACCTTGTTCTTCCCAAAGCTTTCTGTTCAAAGCCATGGGAGAATATCTTGGGGATTGGGAACTTGGGAAAGATCCAGACTAGACTGATCTTCACCAGTTAACTCCTCACGCCTATAAAATCAGCCGTCAGAGATAATGACAACACACAGTTGGGCACAAACCTGTGCAATGAATAGGGTTTGGCTAAGAGTGAAGAATATATCCCATGCCATGCCCAGGAAGTCATCTGGCAAGGAGAAAGGGGGCCGTCTACCCAAGGAACTGAGTGTGAGCGTTTTGTGTGGCTTGTACTGCTTCGTTTGTAAGGCACCACAACTCTGCAGGGTTCCTCTTGTCTTGTGAGTAAACTTGGAAAAGTAAAATCACTTGACTATCAATGTAGCCAACAAGCTGCAGGGATGCTCTTTTAGATCAGGGCTGGCCTGAAGGTCAGTGCTGCTGCCGTGAGCCCAGTCACCTCATGTGGATTATGCCTTGACTTTCTTCAATAGGAATTCTAGATCATATCCCCCTATTTTAAGGTCTTCTGTGTCTATATTCAATAATAATGAATAAGATAGAAACAAGGAAATATTCCCAAGGGGGAACATATCTACAACTACTTAAAAATAAAAGGAAAAGCAACTTGAGATTCTGAGTCTCTAAAAACTTAGTCTGCGATGGAGAGGGAGTAGAGAGCCAACGCAAGCGGAACTGTGTCAGGATCTATAGTACAGTGGGGGATGGGTCAACCATTGAGCTGAAAATAATCAAGGCAAAGTTTTCTGCATTGGGGAAGCTGAGCTACCCACTTCTGATGATATGCCAATATTCCTGTCTTGAAATTGAACTCTGACCACTAGAGGGTGATGTAGTCTAGCAACTGACTCAACTGAAGCAGCCTGCCGGCTCTCAATAAATGCCTTGCTAACTCAAGTTATGGATGCAAGATGGCTTCCAGCATCTTATCTGTGATGCTAGAGGACACTTGAAGGACACCAAACATTAAAGAAGTCTGTGATGGTAAAAATCAATTTAATCATTCAATGTTTTAAGTTGCCACGTGTAGTTAGACCAGTCTGCAAGTCCTCAAGGAAAAAAAAAGATTTGTGTTTTTTAAAAATATATATAATTATAAGGTAATCTCAAATCACATATTTTTAATGGCTTTGCTTCCTGGGCCTCTCAGAAGGCACGTGGATTCTATGTCCATGTCTGGTGGTTGCACTTCAAAAGGGTGGATTCATGAACCAGAATATGCTTAAAAGAAAGAGACTATGAATGAGCATTGATATCAATATAAAACTCCAACCTATGAAGAGCAATTAAAACAAAGAAAATTGGCTAACAGGAAAACCCCTTAGCACTGCGAAGGTCCTTCCAAACAATTCAAGGGTTAAGAATATCGAACAGCTCAACTCTAAACATCTGTATCATACACACACACACACACACACACACACACACACACACACACACACACACACCAGAACGCCAGAGTTCAGGGAACATTGAGGAAGAAGAGGTAGAAATAATACAAAAGTCAGAGAAAGAGGAGTTCTGTGAAATGCTATCTGTAGTTACCTATACAAGACCTGTACAAAGTTGCATCCATCAATATTCTATTATTAATGAGGAAGGGGCTGGTGAGGTCACATCCCTCTCTGAGAAGCTATTGACAGCTAATGAGTGTGAAAGGAAAGTCAACAACACTCATTAAACTTATTAGGTCACTTTTAAAAAGTATAATAAAGGTGTTTTGATATTTGTGTTTTAAAATATAACATGTTTCTTAATTCTCTGAGAACATGATATGTAAGCAATAGATTCTGATCATATTTACACATCCCCAGCTCCTCCCTTCCAACTTCTCCTGAGTTTCCCTTTCCTAAGTGTCCCCTTCCAACTTCATGCCCTGTTTTTAAAATAACTCACTGAGTCCAATTAATGCTGCTCATATACTCATAAATGTAGCACTATCCACTGGTACTGTCAGTCTACCAAAGACTATACCCTTAAAGAAAAATGATTCTCCCTCCCCTAGGAGCCTTCAGTCATCAATAGCTCCTCATTTAGGGGTAGGTACTTCTGTGGTCCTCCCATATTTATGCTGGAATGTTGATTGGCTTGATCTTGTATAGGTAATCACAGGTGCTGTGGGTTCCTGAGGGCAAGAAACCTGTCATGTCCAGAGAACAGTTTCCCCTAAGTCCCTCCTGATCTCTGGCTCTTAAGATATTTCCACCCTCTGCTGGAAGAGGGAATATCCATTTTCTCAATGAAGTGATATGGTGTGTATCAACTTCATTCTAGGGCAGGCCCCATGCTCAGGAGCAGTTTCCCATACATATAGAACTTCATGTTCTATGGTGACTTTTTTCTTTTGATTTTTGTTTCAGTTCTAATTTTTAAGAGAAAGAAAAAACATGAAGTTGGGGGAGGGTAGGAGTGGGGGAGAATCTGGGAGGAGTAAGAATGTAATAAATATATACTGTTTGAAATTCTGCAAGAATAAATAAAAATAAAACTATCCACCCACACTTCTATGTTTTCTGGGCCTGAGAGAGGGAGGTGCAATACTCATTTATGGCAGAGCAGTCCACACAGACTTGTTCTCTGTACCTTCACCAGTTAGGAGTCTCTGTATCAACTATACTAAGATGCTTTTTTGATAAGGACTGAGAGCGTCACTATTTATGGATATAGATGTATGTTTTTGAAATCAGTTTGATACTATGTCCACTTAGCAGAATAATACTAGCAGGTTTACCTCTAGGGATTATAGGTCCACAGGTTTGGGGTTTTGGCAACATTTACAGAACCTAAGACTAAGGTTCCTCATGTAGAACAGGCTTCAAGTTCATTCTGAAGGTTGATTACCCCAGTAGCATGCAAGCCACTTCTGCTCCCTGTCATATCTTGCCAGAACAGTCAATTTTTTAGCTCCCAGCATTCATAACTGAGTAAGATGTTGCCCTTTCTCCCCCAGTATTTGCACAGCACTTTCTGATCCTCTGAAAGATAGCTAGCTTGACAGAAGCTCCTAGGTCAGTTCTAGCTTGATTTCTCTGTGACTAGAAGATTTGGTGTTTTCCTCAATAGAATCTGACCAGGAAGTTCTGACTGCAAACTGAAATCAATGGCAAAAAAAAAAAAAATCTGCATTATTTGGAAAGCCTCTTGGATCCCACTAACCACCAACTTTTTAATATAGTCACTTGTAGTTTCTAGGAGAAACATGATTCTTCATGTATGATAACTCAATTTAAACAGTATACGAGTTTGTGAAAAAGTGGGTTTCTCTATGGGTCTTCAAATATTGTCAACATTGCTCAATCTTCCTTCAACTTCTTTCCCTTTGTTACCTTCTCATCCCTCTACTTTGCCTATCCCCCACTAGTCCCATTTCTTTCTTCATAACACTCTTGTTCTACTATATCTCCTCCCTTAAGATCTTTCTTTCCCCCTCTGCCTTCCAATGGCCCCTTTCTAGTTTCCTGGCTTCTACAAGCACTTTGAGGTAACACACAAATCTGAAAATTCATTCAATGCTGGAAAGTCAAATGCCAAATATTCTTTCTCATATGTGGACCCAACCACCAGGTCATTAGATTTGTGTGTTTGCTGATAAGGTTTTTACAAAACCCAGTGGCTGAATCTTGGCAAGGCACCTGAAGGTCCTCAGTTGCTGTCCTAAATTTTTACTCATCTTAGATTCCGGGAACAGTAAGTCCCACCAACATCTATTATTGAAATTCACCCCATACCTTGTGTAGGAGCCATTATCCTATATTGGAAACTGAGGCTCTCTGCAAACAAGAATGATCATCTCTTGAGAAGTAAATTGCTTACTCAAAAAACAATGGTGATGACTCCTTCTCTGAAGTTGTCTGGGGTCTCAAGGTTGAGACACTGCCTCACTCTGCTGCACACAGCCAGAAGAATCACATTAAAAACTTGTAATGGCCTATAAAGGCAAGCTCTCTAGAGCTTTCTATTTATTTTTTTGATTTTACAAACTTTATTATTAAAAAAACTTGCAAATAAAATAAGCATCATACACAAAAATAAACAGACCCAAAGTTTATATATCTCAGTGAACTTCTATCCAGTTAGAATAGGCATTCTGAATCTGTAGAGCTTCACATTGGATTTTACACTTTCATTATTTATATATTTTTATGTACTTATTCACCGCCAACCTGAAAAATTCATACCAGAATTAGAACTAGAAAAAAACAATTAGCTTTAAATACTTTTTTACAATTTGTATCTATTACTTGCATTCAGTCTTTCCTCATTCCCTGATATTTAGCCTTTCTTATTCTCTTTTCTACCTGTTATACTGTATACACATGTATGTTTGTTTACATATGTCCATATAATACTGGATAAGTTCTACATATGAGAAAGAACATGTATTTTTTCTGAGCTTGTTTGATCTCACTTAATATTATACATTCTAAGTCCATCCACCTTCCTGCAAATTTTATAATTTCATTTTACTTTATCTCTCTATAAATATATGTATCACATTTTTATTATTAATTCCTCTGTTGTTGGACAACTAGGCTGATTCCAATTATTTGTTATAGTAAATAAAGCAACAATAAATATTGTTGTTAAAATATCTCTATGGTAGAATATTGGGTTCTCTGGGTATATGCCCAGGGGTGAAATAGCTGGGTTGTATAGTAGTTCTAATTTTAATTTTTGAGAAATCTCTAAAATGATTTCCATAATGGCTATATTAATTTGCATCCCCAGCAACAGTGAATAAGGGTTCCTTTCTCACCACATCATCCATAACATTTGTTATCACACTTGGTAATAGTCCTCTGACTGGGTAGTATCTCAAAGTAGTTTGAGTTTGCATTTCTCTGATGACTAGGATTATTAAATATTAGAAGAAATAGTTGCTGGCCATTTCCACTCCTGTTTTAGTTACTGTCTATTCATTTAATTTGCCCATTTCTTGGACTTTTAGGGACCCTCACTCAAGTTAAGCCAGATTCTTTGCTT